GAACATCCTCTTTGCATTGTTTCTGGTGATCTACATGGTGATGCTTGTAGGTAATTTGGGCATGATGGCACTAATTAAGGTGGACCGCTCTCTGCACACACCTATGTACTTCTTTCTCAGCAGCCTTTCGTTTGTCGATGCCTCTTACTCTTCTTCTGTCACTCCTAAGATGCTGGTAAACCTCCTGGCTGAGGATAAGAGCATTTCTTTCAATGGCTGTGCTGCCCAGTTCTTCTTCTTTGGCTCCTTCTTGGGTACTGAGTGTTTCCTGCTAGCCATGATGGCATACGACCGCTATGCAGCCATTTGGAATCCCTTGCTGTACCCAGTTCTCATGTCTGGGAGAATTTGTTTTATGTTGGTGACTACTTCATTCCTTGCAGGCTTTGGCAATGCAGCCATCCACACAGGGATGACTTTCAGATTGTCCTTTTGTGGCTCTAATAAAATCAACCATTTCTACTGTGACACCCTGCCCCTGCTCAAACTCTCTTGCTCTGACACTCACATTAATGGCATCGTGATCATGGCTTTTTCCAGTTTTATTGTCCTCAGCTGTGTTCTGATTGTTCTCATTTCCTACCTCTGCATCCTCATTGCTATATTGAGGATGCCTTCTGCAGAAGGAAGACACAAAGCGTTCTCTACCTGTGCCTCCCACCTCATGGCTGTCACCATCTTCTTTGGTTCTATTCTCTTTATGTACTTGCGGCCTACTACTAGCTACTCGATGGAGCAGGACAAGGTTGACTCTGTGTTTTATGCAGTAGTGATTCCCATGCTAAACCCTCTCATCTACAGTTTGAAAAATAAAGATGTGAAGGAGGCAGTGAGGAAAATCATACAGAAACGTGTGTTATAAGTCTATGCTCTTCATCCTTAAGCTGTGCAGGATGTTGTAGATTTTAAAATTTGCTGTCTGATATCTTAAGTCGTTTCTATGTATTGAAGTTGATATATTGGAATTACAGATACTTTTTTGATACAGAAAAGAGATTTACTTTCCTTATAGCTCTGGAGGTCTGGGTATACTGCTGACATCAGCTGGGCTTGGGTAGGGACCTCATGGAAGATGTTACAGATACTTCTTAATCTCCTTCAATTCATAAATATGTTTTTTGGACCCATCTGAGAAATACAAATCATAAATAAAATGTGTGTACTCTCTAGTAGAATCAGAAATTTTTCCAAGACAATTTTTTTTCAATATGATCAATGTCATACATGGAAATTAACTATGCATTTTGAATTGCCAAAACATCAGTTATATGATAAATATTTGAATAATGATAGGCACATTTAACTAATTTATCAGATATGCATTACCAATATCATCCTCATGTTTTCTCACACTGCACTCATGAATACCATAGATAATTAAAAGTCTTATCAAATATTAAGGAATTTGAACAGCAGCCATTAGATGGAAATATTTTGATCTTCTTAAATTATTTGAAACACGGCAGAATTCTAAGCATTTCTGTGTTTTATTTATATTTCTTCCAGGATGGCATAGAGTTGTTATTAAACATTTGTTAAATAAGATATGAGTATTGTGTTTTTCATTAGGGTAGGAGAAAATCAATGCTGGAGCAATGTGACAATTGATATTTTTGATAATATGCCACAATGAAGCAGAGTCTGTGAAGTTTAGAACCAAAGGAGTGTCTAATGCTTGCTTCTTTCCACTCTATCAGCTGCCTCAGATCATGAGGAATAAACACCGCTGTGCTGTTATGATCCAAATGTTGTTATTGTGTCTCTGAAAATAAATTATGGAGGACTGATGGCAATTTGTCTCATCCAGGCAACATTTCTAGTGTTCTAAATTCTCTTAACAATTAGACAAGCTTTACTTTCTTACTTCAGTAATAAATAAAGAGTTGCAATACATAAGTTTCCAGATTATCATAGACACAATCTTACAGAGGAAATGAATTATTTCTGATTATTTTTGTATACTTTATTTCCTTAACTTTGACATGATCTATAATAACATTGAATTGGAGACTTACTCTTCTATAATTAAAAATCAACCAGAGCTACATTGTCTTTGTTTTGTGATATTTCTAGTCTTTCATATAATAAATATGGCTGCCCTGAACTTTTGCAGGTTTGGGGGCCACAGCCATGTGAATGCACCTCTGCAATAGTCGTGTTATGTCCAAAAAAATACTTTGCTGCAGATGTCTAGTACCTCTCTTCTTGCAATTTCTCATCCCCTTCTTCTCTGCTCACCCCTGGGCTTTGAAGGCAGGGAGTGTGATACAGACATTGAATTAATACTAACGCTTTACAGTCTCTTGTTCTCTCTCAATAACCAGCTGAGAGTCTCTATTAATCTCCATTTACTACAAAAGGAAGGTTCTCTGATAAGGACTGAGAGGTGCACTAATATATGAGTGTAATGTTTGACATCATGTTCATTTAGCTGAGAAATAGTATCAGGGCATGCCTTAGGGTTATGCATTAGTCTCTCGTGGGTTATTGGTCCAGTCTTCTGAAGCAGACTTTTAATCAAATAAGAAAGTGTTTGGTTTATACCAGAACATTCACGCCATTATTTAGAGAGGAAAGTAATTTCCTGTACACTATAAGCTTACAATTTCTTTCTGTTCTTTTATTTAAATTTCTTGTGACAAACAGTATTATCTCATTTTTTTTACAGAGAAAAAATATAATTTGCAAATGATTAGCTTTCTGCTAACTAAAATATTTCTTAACACTAAATATTCAATGGGTATTTTTGATTTTCTTGATTCTGAGGAAGCAACATTTAGTTTTTAATCAAATTTTTATGGATAGAATTACTTTGGATAACCAAAATATTAAGTTGGAGTTAGTTCAATGAAATTCATGAATTGGAGAACAAGTAAAGAATTGTATTTGTACTATGCTTTTTCAGTGATCTTTTCTTAAAACTGTCACTTATTATACTTTATACCTCAGTCCCATTGGATTATTTCTTCTTAGTATGAACAGAATAAAATGAGAAACTCCAGGTGGAGTTTCTTTTACTTTTGTATGCTAAATATACAAAACATCTTCTAACTACATCACCTTTTCTTTTATTATTTAAATTAATAGATAAAATCGCAAATGCAGTGGTAGAGAAAGAGAGGAGAGAGAGAAAAGAGGAGAAGAGACAGAGAGAGAGAGAGAGCAAGAACGAGGGAAGAGTTGTTTACACATGTTAGGGAGAGGTTTTGTCCTCATAGGTGAATAAACTCCTCACAACATCAAATTAAGATTATTTTCTTGAGAATTAAAGAACATTTAAATTGTACATTTAAAGCTGTTTTTAGATACTTAGGGGATTAACCAAGAAAATATATCATAAATCTTACTACATTGTATGATGCACAGTAAATCAATATTTGCAGGTAGGTTAAATTTTGTATTTGATAACTAATATATGTTTGTGTGCTTGTGTATGGATTGTATCTTATCATCATGGGGAAATATATTATCAGTTACTCCTGACAATTTTATTCATATGCCAATATATGTAGTGATTCTAAAACATCCACTATTATATGTGAATTCTAATGTATTTGTGAGAAGCAAGTAAACAATGGTTTAAAGCCAAATATTGAGGCAATTTTGTCATGATATTCCAAACATAGAAATTCTGGATGGTAGGTCATACTGGCATTAAGAATCTGTGCTTTCTCTAGTAGATAGTCTTATAAATGGGTTAGAATATAAGAACATTTTACACAAGCAAGAAAATCACACTATAAAGATGGATTTATCACAGACATTTGAATATCCTTTAGGCTGTTCAAATACTCCCTCTCAGAAAGGGATTTTATTCCATCTGAAATCTTTCTTCCTTTGCTTTTTTAATATCATAACTTGTTTTCATTTGACAATATGGTGCATAGGGTTCTGTATGAATTAGTATCTATTCCTTTTTGATCTGCACAATACACTATGGGAGGACACAGGATGATATACTGCTATAACCTTATATTGTTGAATAATGTCAGAAAATGGAGTTTGCTGTGCACAGGAGTTAATTTATTGATAAACATCCAACATAAAGAGAACAATTCTTGGTTTCTTAGGGTTATTCCTTTGTTGTTGTTGTTGGTGCTGTGGGGCTTTGGATTTTGGAAACAAGGTTTTGCTATGTTGATTAACTATCCCAAGGCTGTATAGAGGTGGGGTAGAGGGGAAGGTGGAGGGAGAAGGAGGAGGGGAGGGAGTTGGAACTAGGATTGGTATGTAAAATGAGAAAAGATATTTTTTTAAAATTAATTAATAAAAAACTATTTTCAAGGGTACCCAGATATCGCCAATTTCTTTCTGTAACCCACCAGGTTATTGAGAGTTCAAGCAACTAGCACCATGGTCTGTTGAAAAATTTCTTAGATTATGAAAGATTATCATAATTTTTAAGACAAATTTCAGAACTTCAGGTACTCCTCATTCTTTTATTGACCATTGTGGGTTGAAAGTAACGTGATGGATTGGATGTTGATATTTTATTTATTTTATTCTGACTTCAAATGCACAGGATATGGCAGCTTCAATTACTGGAAACAAATATTCCTTCATTTGCTTGAGAGAAATGAAAAAGTGATGCGCCTTTAAAACGTTTTTCTTAAATATTGATCTCAAATTGTTAGAAACTGTAGAAATGCATTCTACATGGATATCGCTATGAACATAGGCATACTTGTGTAAATATACATGTGAAAGCATCTGTCTATAAGGAATATGCATACAATTGTGAGAAAGAAGAAAGACAGTGAGACCTCAGTTGTTTTTGTCTGCTTGCCTGCTGTGTGATTAAGAGGGATATAATAAAAAGAAAACCACAAACAGATTACAAAAATACAGGTAGGATATGATATGTAGATATTAAAAAGCATTTGACAAGAAAGGGAATTGTGCTGCAGTCCAACGAAAAATCAGTGAGGACTACAGCTCATCGCTAATTGCAAAGGCACTGCTCTTATTTCTTGGGACTTTCAGCTTGCAAGTGTAAGAAAATGACCTCCCTAAACCATACTACTGCAGGGATGGATTTCATTCTTGTGGGACTCACAGACAGCCCAGTGCTGGGGAGGATCCTCTTCGTGGTGTTTCTGCTCATCTTTGTCGTCACACTGGCAGGGAACCTGTTCATGATTGTGCTGATCAGGACCAATTCCCACCTGCAAACGCCCATGTACTTCTTCCTTGGGCACCTCTCCTTTGTAGACATTTGCTACTCTTCTAATGTTACTCCCAACATGCTGCGTGGTTTCGTCTCGGACCAGAAGACAATCTCCTATGCTGGGTGCTTCACTCAGTGTCTCCTCTTCATTGCTCTGGTGATCACTGAATTTTATATCCTTGCTTCCATGGCACTGGACCGCTATGTGGCCATTTGCAGCCCTCTGCATTACAGTACCAGGATGTCCAAGAACGTTTGCGTGTCTCTCGTCACATTTCCTTATGTGTTTGGCTTCCTGAATGGGCTCTCTCAGACTCTGCTCACTTTCCACCTGTCTTTCTGTGGCTCCCGTGTAATCAACCACTTCTACTGCGCAGACCCTCCTCTCATCATGCTGGCTTGCTCTGACACCCATGTCAAAAAGATGGCCATGTTTGTGGTTGCTGGCTTTACTCTTTCAAGTTCTCTCAGTACCATTCTTCTCTCTTACCTTTACATTTTCGCAGCCATCTTGAGGATCCGTTCAGCTGAAGGAAGGCAAAAAGCCTTTTCTACCTGTGGTTCCCACCTGACAACAGTCACTGTATTTTATGGAACCCTTTTCTGCATGTATTTAAAGCCTCCATCAGAGAAGTCCGTGGAGGAGTTCAAAATAATAGCAGTTTTTTACACCTTTTTGAGCCCATTGCTGAACCCCTTGATCTATAGCCTAAGGAACAAGGATGTTATCAATGCCATGAAAGAGGTCTTCAAGGGAAATTTCTGCCAGAAAATTTTGGTTTAGGAAGATGTTTATGTGTTATTATTTGGCATCTGTTATTACATAGTATTCTTGTAGGATGAACCTAGTATCTCAGATTTACTTCTTGTGCAGCAGCATATGCCTCTAGTTACTCCTTTTTTGACTATTTCATATTGTAGTTTAAACCTTCTAGTTATATTTTTAAAGTAAATCTACCATTTTGAAATTAGAAAAACTATTTTTTCTTACTATTCAAGATTCTATATAAATACATTGTCTTAATTTATATGAAATTTAGATTCTAACCAACTTGTCCTAAAGAAAAAAAAGGTAAAATCATACCCCATGAAAGATGACATGCTGCAACCTATAGAAAATTTCAAAAAGGATAAATGATTTTACTGTTTTTTTTACAATGGTGTCTTTTTTCTAATATAAAGAACACCACAAAATGATTGCTTTGATTCCTTACTCAACAATCAAATGACATAAAGTAAATAAAAAATAATTTTGGTTGGGAGATTTTTGATGACTGTTTCTCTTTTCTTTGCGGTTATTCATCAAGTTACTTTGCTTATTTGGTCTTGATTTAAATTTGGTAAGTGATATTTATCCAGAAAATTGCTCATTTCCTTTAAATTTTTCAATTTTTAAAAATTTTATAAAAATTTTCCAATTTTGTGGAGTACAGATTTTTGAAGTATGGATTTCCAACATGTCTGCTGTTATGTCCCCTTTTCATTTCTGATTTTTTAAACTGGATATTCTCTCTTTTTTGTTTAGTTTGAATAATGGTTTGTCTATTTGTTGATTTTCTCCAAGAACCAACTCTTTGTTTCAGTGATTCTTTGTACTATTTTCTTTGTTTCTATTTTGTTGATTTCAGCTCTCAATTTGATTATTATCTTTCATCTACTTCTCCTGGGTGAGTTTGCAGTTTTTTTGGTTCTATAGCTTTCAGCTGCTCTGTTAACTCATTAGTGTTATTTTTCCAGCTTCTTTATGTAGGCATTTAATACTATGAACTTTCCTCTTAACATTGTTTTCATTGTGTCCCGTAAGTTTGGGTATGTTGTGTGGTCATTTTTGTTGAATTTTAGGAGTTATATAATTTCTTCCAAGTGCTCGAAAAATTTAATTCTCATTTTTGTATGACTGACTTATACCTTGTTAATGAAATAATGAGGGAGTTATTATGTCTGTCATTATGAAATGTGGAGTCTTTGGCACAGAAATTAATGGGCTTACCAGAGTCCATAGCTTAAAAAAACCCTTTATTTTCTCATTCTCCCTCTGTTATCCTAATTTTGGGACACATAAATTCTCAACCCATCAGGATGCTGGATGGGATGTGAAGGAAGATAGACTCATAACGTTAAGCCCTGCATTTACTGATGTAAGTGAAATTTTAAATATGGTTATGGTATCTGTGATTTTTTTAAAGAAATATCTAAGTTCTGCTGGGTGATGGTGGCAAACACCTTTAATCCCAGCACTCAGGAGGCAGAGACAGGCAGATCTCTGAATTTGAGGCCGTCCTGGTCTATAAGAACTTGTTCTAGGAACAGAAGGGCACCCACAGCATCTGCAGGCATTTCAGGCATCTTCTGGCTTGTGCACTGCTCCATTGTGGAGCGAATAAACTGGCCTGTCAGGGCCAGGAACTGCTCGGTGTACCGGGAATGAAACTGCTTCAGCAGAGTGAGCAGTCCCAGGACGAGTGGTGGCCAGTCCACGGGGTCAGCAGGTTTCCGGCAGACCATTCCTAGATTTTTGTTATACTGAAGCTTTGGCAACTGAGCAATCAAGAGGAGAAAGTTGACGATCGGGAAGTAGGGTAAGCGCTTCGTTGTTATGTAAATCTTATTCAGTGGGTTGTGAATGCCAGCTGCCTCCAGATAGGCTGTGATTTCATATAAGAGTGTGTTATCTTCTTTGGGGTAGGGAAGCGAAGGGTCCCGATAGTGGGCTTCAATGTCAGCCAAGAGAGCCTTATTGAGGTTGTCCAGAGCAGCAGCCAGATGTCTGGAGTCAAATCGACACGAGGAATGTAGCTCATTGGCAATCTGCTGTCTCAGGATCTGCATCTGTCCAACCTTCATTATGGCTTCCAGGTAAGCGGTCCAAATCTTCTGTGTTTTAGTTTATGTCCGATACACAAAGCTCCCCCGCAGGGTGGCTGAAGCACATGTGCCTAACTTCATTTTCGATGAGTTCCGAACAGTCCTGTGACTTCTGCTCCAGTGACAAGACTGGCCTCATTAGCTTCCTGTAACTAAAGTGAACTTGGGAACGGAAAGAAGCTTGACTACTCATGCAACTCGCTCGCGTTGTTCCCTCCCCTGTGGGAATCATCAGCCGCTCTAGGGAAGATGACTCGGCTCTAATATACTGTTGAAATCATGCTATTATGTGGAATTTGTATCATGTAGAAGCAGAACTGTTTTATACTTGCCTCTTCTAAATACTCAGTGTAACTGTGATGGATGAATCCTTTTATGTTCTAAAGAACTATTTGTGCAACTCCAGGTCTTCAGTAAAATAATATTGCCAGTAAAAAAAAAAAGAAAAAAAAAGAACTTGTTCTAGGACAGACTCCAAAGCTAAAGAAAATCCCTGTCTCAAATATATATATATATATATATAGTCAGCTTCTACAACAATAATCAGCAATAATCTGTATTCATATGCATGATTGTGAATCCCTTTATGTAGTGACGTAGCATTCTGAAAATGCACCTTTTTAAACAAGATTTGCTTGTTATGTGTACAGTGTTCTTCCTACATGAAAATGTCTCTTATCCTAAAAGGATGGAAGTATTGCTGAACCTCACAGCCAGAGTTAATAGCATACTTTGAGGTCACTTAAGACTTAAGATTCCTATTGTACTGTCTACTTAGGCTGTTTTTTGTTTGTTTGTTTGTTTTTTGCCTACTTTTAAAGAAATGACATAAAGGTAACATTTACTTGCCTTGAATTTCCCATGTAATTAGGTTCTATAACCTAATATAATTCATAGCTGAATTCTTAAATTGTGTACATTTCTGTGTCCTTGACCAAGATCAGTGCATGGGTAATATTTTCTGAAAGCATCAAATACAAAGGTTGAAAGAAACCTTTTAAAATCTACCCTAAAGACTGAAAGCAACAGTTAAGGGTATGGGTTAATAATGATGTTCTTTCTAGTACTTTTTTTTTTTTTGTTCTGGATCAGTGGCGATCAGTGGGAGGTAGTGACATAATCCCCTGTAAGATTCTGTTAAAATTTCTGTAAAAAATTCACAGTAGTCTTTTCCCATGTGATGCTTTCTGTGCTGTTTGATAACAACAGAGTGAAGCCCTGTTAGAAACAGACATGCAGAATCCCTCAAACCATGGACGCAGTCACAAGTCAGCTTTCAGTCGGATACAGATTCAGACTCATACAACAGGCAGGATGGAAGATACAGGGAACGTGGAGTCGTGAATTCAAAACTGGACTCACTTGTGGTTAAATTTCATAATAAAATCTGTCATTTTATTAAAAATGAATAAAAAAATGAATTGATTTTGTTGAAATGAAATTAATGAATGAAACTTGTCTTGAGACTACTGCTCTACTCTGTACTCAGCTTGTTTCTGTAACTTCTCTTTAACAGAATGACATTAAATCTCCCTTTAGTAGAATGACATTAACCGTCAATCCCAACCTAAGCTTTTCTTTCTGTACTTAATGTGATACTAATTCCAATTTTGGGGACTCAGAGTTTATTGATAATGGATTTATTTCATGCAATTCTGCTTATGAGTGTGTGTGTGAGAGAGAGAGAATCTATGTCTGTGTATGTGTGTATGTGTGTGTGTTTTGAGGTTGACGCTGGATTTCTTCCTCTATAAGCCTCCATTTTATTAAGCAAGGAAGTAAGTTATGGTTCTATTGCTGTGAAGAGACACCATGACTGGCCAAAATTATCTCAGGGCTTGTACCTCAAGGCCTATAGGACAGAGAAAAGCCTGTCTTGAGTTTGAATGAGGATGAGACAGCAAAAACTAGTTAGATGCCCCATCTAGCCAGAGGGGGTTTGGCTGCTTCTCATTGTCTGGAGGGACCCTCACATCACAGGATGTCACTTAAGTTATATAAGCTGATATTCACAGTAATTAACTGAGTTCCTGCTTTGACTCGACTCCCTATTGTGTCTGTTTGTCCTGCATTTTGGGGCTGTGGAATGGGCAGATAGCACAATCACCTTTCCTTGAGAAATTAGGAGTCTCAGCAATCCTAGCACATGACAATGGCAGCTCTCATAAAGGCAAAACATTTAATTGTGGTGTCTTATATTCTCAGAGGTTTTGTCATCATGGTGGGACATGGTGTGCAGGCAGACATGACTCTGGAAAGGAAACCGAGAGTCCTACATCTTTACCTTCGGGCAACGCAAAGTGGTCTGAGTGTCATGAGTGTCACACTGAGGGAAGTTTGAACAAAGGAGACCCCAAAGCCCACCTGCACAGTGAAACGCTTCCTCCAACAGGGCTAGACCAACTCCAATAAAACTTCCCCTCCCAACAGTGCCATTTCCTGTGAATTTATAGGAGCCAATCACATTCAAATAACAACAGTAGCTAAGAAGACACAAGTCAAGTAGTAATCAGTGAAGCAGATAAGCAGGACATCCCTGAGAGAAAAAGAACACAGCAGAGTGGACAAGGCACCAAGCTGGAAGTTTGATGTGAGTCAGAACTCCTCTGTGATCATTCTGTGTCACCTTCTTCCTGGGTATTCCCATCGTTTGAGATTTCAGGTAGAACTTTGAAGAGATTTCATTAGGAATATTAGTCTCTAATCTCCATATCCCCAGTAGGGGCCTCGAATATAGAACTAAGTTACACTAATTTTATCTCATATTGTAATGGAAGGAGAGAAAGTTTTTCATACTCAGATTGACAAAGTAGTCACGAGGCAGGTGCTAAATTCTCTAGTCTTACAATAAAAATATTTTAATTTAGAAATAAAAGAATGCTAATTTTCCATTGAATTACTTGGATGATATGGAAATTGAGGGTGCCTCCCCTCTGATCGTCGCACTATATTTTGACACACTCAAGTGGTTTGAGTTGAACTTATCTGCACATTGAAAGGCAAGTGCCAATGAAAACATCTTCCTACTCCTAAACTCACTCATGAACACCTTGCCAAACAGTATTCAAGCCTTTTGGGATCTTTATTAAATTTCCTCTTCAATTACAAGTTGTAATGATCATGTTTTTAAGACTGGCTTGTGCTTCTTAGTGTCTTGAAACATAACTCCACAAGTCACATAATTCCAGTGTAATTACTGATACCCTGATCTATAAATCAAGCCAGACTTGATCAGTTTTTTTTTGTACTTGTTCAATGGATTTGCTAAAATCCCCTATCAACTGTTTTTTTTTTACATCTCTCATTCAGAACTTCTTACCCATGACCTTACTCTATATTCATAAGAAGAAACAGCTGTATACTTAGTGTACTTGCTGTGGGAAGTCCATCTGTATATGTGTTGCTTTCATTGGTTAATGAATAAAGAAGCTGTTTTGTCCTATGTCAGGGAAGAATAGAGTTAGGTGGCAAAACTAATTGCTGGGAGAAAGTAAGCAGAGTCAGTGAGGTGCCGTGTAACTGCCCACAGGATACAGATGTGCTGGAATCTTGCCATATTAATTAATCTTTAATTAATTAATCATTAATCTTGTGATACACAGATTAATAGAAATGGGTTAATTTAAGATGTAAGACCTAGTCAATAAGGAGCTAGAGCTTATAGGCCAAGCAGTGACTTAATTACTATAGTTTCTGCATGATTTAAGGTCTGGGGTGCCGAGAAACAAACGAGTAGTCTCCACACTTGATAAAAAGAAACAAATAAAATTCTTGTTATTTTCCTACATATTGGAATTTCTAGCTCACAACTTATTTATTTTTAATTCTTTGTGGGATTGTTTCAGGCAGTGCTTCAAGATCAGATTGACATATGGGTGTGATGGCGCAATGTTCTTTTTCATACCATAATTCCAAAAATGCATTTAATATATTTTCCTCATATTAAGGATGTAACAGGTTTAAGCTGATAAGAGATACTTCACTTGATCATAGCCAAAAGGCTAATAATGATGACAGTATACTTTTCTAACTATGCTGAGATTTTATGCAGAGTATGGCAACCTGTGTACACAAAGATTCAACTGAAATTTTGGCCTCAAAGGAAAAACAGTTCCTCAAAATATCAAATTAGTGTTCTGCCCCTGAGAATAAAGAATATATTAATTGGATCCTTAGAATTATTTTTGAAACCCATGGGGCAATTTCAAATCAATACATTATAAATCCCTCTACTTTGTTTCTATAATACATGGTACATATATGTACACAGTTGGTTACTTGCTGCATTTGGTAAGTAAAATTGTTGTGAATGTTTGCATGTTGTCTTGTCCCATTTGAGAACATATTAATTTTGGAAATTGGCCATTCTAATCATATTTTGATATTTTTGTGTCACTGAAGAATCTACATCATTTGCATGTTTTTCAAATACACAGTCGGAGAACAAGCACATAGCTGTCTGAGTGTGTGATACTGGAAGACTAAGATTTGTGATCTTTTTTTATTCAGTCCCTCACACACCATGAGAGAGAGGCCATTGTTAAAACATCTATGGTTCCATATGCTAATATTTGCATGAATGATCTAGTAACATAAAAATAAGAACCCAAAGTCGACACTAGTCCTAAGATAGATGTTTTTTTTTTTATTGACAGTGTAAATGCTACCTTTACAAAATGGCTCATTTCATTTGCCTAGTTTTGCTAGGATTAATATCTACAGTGTAATGTGTGCTGTAGAATTGGGAAGTTTGTTTACTTTATGAACTCCTATAATGCTATTTGCATGCACACATGAACAAATGTGTGAATTGTGAAGAGAAAGTATAAGTTTTGATTCTAAAACTTTGTTCCATACTAAAATACAAAATTTACATGTTAAGTTCTCTCTAGATAGCTAAGGTTAGATGAGAAATCTATGGGTTATAAGGGAAATGAAGCAGTTTTATTTTGTATCTGAAATGAGAGATTATCACTGCTGAGAAAAGTTGGAAACACAAGATATATGACTGGTCAATTTGCATGACAGAAGTAACTCTTTCTTACTTTGCTCATTTGGCTTTATTTATTTAGTTTTTATTTTCACAAAGCTTGGAAAATATAATAAAAGTAAGAACTTTCTAATTTTTCTTTTTCTTTTGGTTTTTTGAGACAGGGTATCTCCGTAGTTTTGGAGCCTGTCCTAGAACCAGCTCTTGTAGATGATGCTGATCTCGAACTGACAGAGGTTAACATCGTCCTGAATGCTGGGATTAAAGGTATGTGCCACCAGCACCTGGCTTAATAGGGACTTTCAAAACACAGATGTACTCAAAAATACAAGATGATACATATATGTAAAGAAGGAAGTGTGAAAGAAATAAATCAAATTTCATGTAAGCATGTTGTCAGTGTGTTATCTAGGGAGACAGCGAGAGAGAGGGAGAGAGAGAGAGACAGAAACAGAGAAAGAGACAGAGAGAGAGAGAGAGAAGTAGATACAGAAAAAATGAAATGGAGCCATGACACAAAGATGCAAAATTAAGAATTAACACTGAAAAGATGGTGTGTATACTGAGAAGTATAACTGATGAAAATAAGAACTTGAAGAAATGAGTGAAGCTGATGGGCGGTACAAAAGAAAAGGCACTTCTCATATTTCTTGTCATTTTCAGCTTGCAAGTGTAAGAAAATGACTTCCCTAAACCATACTACTGCAGGTAAGGATTTCATTCTTGTGGGACTCACAGACAGCCCAGTGCTGGGGAGGATCCTCTTCGTGGTGTTTCTGCTCATCTTTGTCGTCACACTGGCAGGAAACCTGTTCATGATTGTGCTGATCAGGACCAATTCCCACCTGCAAACGCCCATGTACTTCTTCCTTGGGCACCTCTCCTTTGTAGACATTTGCTACTCTTCTAATGTTACTCCCAACATGCTGCGTGGTTTCGTCTCGGACCAGAAGACAATCTCCTATGCTGGGTGCTTCACTCAGTGTCTCCTCTTCATTGCTCTGGTGATCACTGAATTTTATATCCTTGCTTCCATGGCACTGGACCGCTATGTGGCCATTTGCAGCCCTCTGCATTACAGTACCAGGATGTCCAAGAACGTTTGCGTGTCTCTCGTCACATTTCCTTATGTGTTTGGCTTCCTGAATGGGCTCTCTCAGACTCTGCTCACTTTCCACCTGTCTTTCTGTGGCTCCCGTGTAATCAACCACTTCTACTGCGCAGACCCTCCTCTCATCATGCTGGCTTGCTCTGACACCCATGTCAAAAAGATGGCCATGTTTGTGGTTGCTGGCTTTACTCTTTCAAGTTCTCTCAGTACCATTCTTCTCTCTTACCTTTACATTTTCGCAGCCATCTTGAGGATCCGTTCAGCTGAAGGAAGGCAAAAAGCCTTTTCTACCTGTGGTTCCCACCTGACAACAGTCACGGTATTTTATGGAACCCTTTTCTGCATGTACCTGAGACCCCCATCAAAGAGGTCTGTAGAGGAGTCCAAAGTAATTGCTGTGTTTTACACCTTTTTGAGCCCAATGTTGAACCCCTTAATCTATAGCTTACGGAATAAGGATGTCATTAATGCCATGAAACAAGTGATTAAAGAAAAACTCTTTCAATAAACATCAATGTATGAATGTTTTTAGTTGTAATCACTTTCTTTCTTTTTAAGCTGTGTTGTTACATGCAACCCATGTGTCTCTGTCATGTCTGTCTGCAACCTGAACTGTCATACGTCAATTTTTCTCATTTATTCTTGAAATTAATTTCTTTAGGGAAAAAAGTTGTTATAATCTATGTTACTTACATTAATAAATACCCTCTTTAGGAGAAAAGTTACAAATAGGCTTCAGTTAGTGTTCAATGATTCCATAAAATGTTTTGCTTTCATGTAGGTGTATATGATCACAAATTTGTGACCCTTGTAACTCTTACAGTCGAACTTCTTTGAATAATGTGGTTAAAGGTATATGCCAAAAATATTTCATAATGTTTGATTCATGAGATCATTTCTGATACATTGTCAAGGGTAAAGAATTTGACTGGATGTCCAGATAATTAATTGACTATTTTTGTTAACATTAAAGATATGGATCTTAGTCCTATGACATTTGTTAGTTTTCTTAAAGTATAGCATTCATCTAGATAGCTTCTCCAAGTCTGAAAATTCTATATTGAATGACATCATTATATATATTGCTAAGACTATTAATCAGACTCACTTAGCTGTATAATCTACATATTTCTCAATACAATCACTTTGATTTAAAATTTGATAATTTGGAGCAATGTTGTGTATCTGTCAACTTCTTTGTACCCAAGGATACTTTGGTGGAAATACTTCTCTAGGAGTGACTGCAATCTTATTTTTCTTGAGATTTACAATTACAAGTGAAATCTTAATATTTGTGATAACTTTTAATTTTAGTGAATATATAATTAAATCCTTTCCCCTTTCTTTTCTCCCTCCAACCCCTTCCAAGTCATGTACTTGACTCCCTCTCAAACTCATGGCCTTGTTATCTTTGATTATTATTATTGGATAAGTATATAAATATAAAGGAGCCAAAGTCAATGAAATCTTATTTTCTTTTTTTTTTATTGAGAAAAGGAGAAAAAAAAAACAAGTTTCCACCTCCTCCCAGCCTTCCATTTCCCTCCCCCTCCTCCCACTCTTCTCCCCCTCCCCCCACTCCTTTCCCCCTCCCTCTCCAGTCCAAATAGCAGTCAGGGTTTCTGCTCTATGGTAAGACCTAGGACCTCCCCCCTCCGTCCATATCTAGGAAGGTGAACATCCAAACTGGCTAGGCTCCCACAAAGCCATCACATTACGTAGGATCAAACCCCCGTGCCATTGTCCTTTGCGTCTCATCAGCCCTCATTGTTCGCCATGTTCAGAGGGTCCAGTTTTATCCCATGCTTTTTCAGTCACAGTCCAGCTGGTCTTGGTGAGCTCTCAATATATCAGCTCCACTGTCTCAGTGGGTGGGTGCATCCCTCGTGGTCCCGACTTCTTTGCTCATGTTCTCCCTCCTTCTGCTCCTCACTGGGACCTTGGGAGCTCAGTTCAGTGCTCCAGTGTGGGTCTCTGTCTCTATCTCCATCCATCACCAGATGAAGGTTCTATGATGATATGCAAGATATTCATCAGTATTGCTCTAGGATAGGGTCATTTCAGGTTCCCTATCCTCAACTGCCCAAGGAACTAACTGGGGACCTCGGCTTGGGCACCTGGGAGCCCCTCTAGGGTCAAGTTTATTGCCAACCCTAAAGTAGAGCCCTTAACTAAGAATTGTGGTTCCGTGCTCCCCTGTCCAACCTTCCTTTATCCCAATCTTCCTGTTTTCCCAAGGCCCGACCTCCTTCCCTTCTAACTTTTCTCTCCCCATCTCCCCTTACCCCCATCCCACCCCACCGCCAAGATCCCAATTTTCTCCCTGGCCATTTTGTCTACTTCCCTTAGCCAAGAGGATAACTATATGTTTTTCCTTGGGTTCCCCTTCTTACTTAGCTTCTTTAGATTCACCTATTGTAGACTCCGTGACCCTTGTTTATGGCTAGAAACCAATTATGAGTGAGTACATCCCATGTTCATCATTTTGGGTCTGGGATACCTCCCTCAGGATAGTGTTTTCTATTTCCATCCATTTGCATGTAAAATTCGAGAAGTCATTGTTTTTTACCGCTGAGTAGTACTCTAATGTGTATATATTCCATACTTTCTTCATCCATTCTTCCATTGAAGGGCATCTAGGTTGTTTCCAGGTTCTGGCTATTACAATTAATACTGCTATGAACATAGTTGAACAAATGCTTTTGTCATATGATCGGGCATCTCTTGGGTATATTCCCAAGAGTGGTATTGCTGGGTCCAGGGGTAGGTTGATCCCGAATTTCCTGAGAAACCGAAACACTGACTTCCACAGTGGTTGCACAAGATTGCATTCCCACCAGCAATGGGTGAGGGTACCCCTTCCTGCACAGCCTCTCCAGCAAAGGTTATCGTTGGTGTTTTTGACTTTAGCCA